CTGAATGAAGTACCATTTCTCAAATAACACCATAATAAATATATAAAATTCTAATCAACAGTTCCTTCAAACATACTGCAGTGATTGTGATTGTTTTTGTGGCACAGTAACAACGTTTAAAACCATAATGGGAAGAAAGATTTTTAAATCAATTTTTAAGAGCTAATATCAAACATGTTCTCATTTGAACTTTGCACTTTTTCCTCTATTGCCTCTGAAAAGTTCATAGCTATTTGAGTTGGTTTTTATGGTACTAACCACTGGGGTGGAAATACTCCCTTAAATGAATTCTTTAGGCTATTAGTTTGGATGTGCCCCATTTATTTGTGCTCTGCTATTTTCATGTACATATATTGGAGACTATGTAAGTAGGTTCTATTACTTTCCATCACTCTCCTACCATTCAATAAGGGATTTTGTAACTAGGGAATTTCATTATAAGATCAAATAAAACTATACCTAAAACATAGAGGCACAGAATATATATCTAAATGTATAAAATGCTTTAGTTTTGAACTATTTAAAGTATTTAGGTAGCAAACTAAATAATGGGATTACAAGGATTAGTAGATTCATGTTGTGTTAAACGACAATTATAAACACAGAATATGTTAGTAGTCACTAAAATAATCCAGTTAAAGATTTTCCCACTAGCACTTTTATCTTGAAACTTGGAATAGACATTTTGTAAGAAGGTATGTTCCTCAACTATTTTATATCCTTGAATATATTCAGAAACATAAAAAAAGAGTAGTGTATTTTTTACCCATAAATACATTTTATATGTTATATAATTATGTCTATAAATAAGTCAACTCCATTTTATTTAGTGTTTGTCAAAAGATCTGAGGCTTTATCCTATTTGCAAGCTAACAAGTTAGTCTGCTATAGTTTCACATATATTGGACAAAGGCATGAGACAATTGTGCCAGGGACAAAACATTTTATCACTCAGAACAACAGTAGTTCAGAATACCAGCATTTTCTTGTGCCTGTATTCCAAGCCCATTTCCTCAGGGTGATGAGAAAAAGGCCAAGGTGACACCTACAAAATAAATTGCACTAAAGGAGAAGAGCCCTAGCTGGTTTGGCTTAGTGGATAGAGCGTTGGCCTGCGAACTGAAGGGTCCCGGGTTTGATTCCGGCCAGGGGCACATGCCCGGGTTGCAGGCTGGATCTCCAGTGTGGGGCATGCAGAAGGCAGCCAGTCAATGATTCTCTCTCATCATTGATGTTTCTATCTGTTTCTCCCTCTCTTTTCCTCTCTGAAGTCAATAACTTTAAAAAGAGAGAGAGAGAGAGAGAGAGAGAGAGAGAGAGAGAGAGAGAGAGAAGAAACCTGGCCAGTAGCCCAGTTGGTTAGACCCTTGATCTCAGTCAGGGCCCATACAAGAATCAGCCAATGGTTGCATAAATGAGTGGAACAACAAATCAATGTTTTGTTTTCTCTCTCTCTTCCTCCCTCTTCTCCCCCCACTCTCTAAATCAATGAATATAAAAAAAAATCCCACAGAAAAACTGAGATTACAGATTCTAAATTTTTATACTTGACAGTAAATATGCCTTCCATTTGCTCATGCAGAAGGCAAGCTCTCTCTCTTCCAAGGCTATTTGTTATACAGATATTCCTGAAAAGATAAGCAGGAACTAATTTATCTGTGCCTCTGCTTAAAAGATATAAAATATGTGGAGCCTAAGAAGAATCATCTTCCAGCAGTATTTCATTTTGGTATTGTTTAGAAATATATAAATTTGCATAAAGGTCATAGACTTCCAAAAGAAATATTGATCCTTCCTTGCTACTATTAATCAAATAAAAGGTTTAGGGTGTAATAAAGAACAAAAAGTTTTAATTTGAGCAAAAAGAGTTGTAATCTGCAAGACACAGACTCAGGTAGTAACCTAAACTGTTCTCCAAAGAGAATACAGAAAGGGAGAGTTTATAGGCAAAACCACAAAGCACATTTTTTTCATGCATATAAAGAATTGCTGGTTAGGCTAATAGAAATTGGTTAGTTCCAATATAAAAATGAGGGGGGTGAATATTACAAGGAGGAGGTAAAGTCCATATGTGTTCACACAGCAGTTGTTCCAGGATGTTAATGGCTAGCCTTAAACTGAATTTAGCAACAGGTTTAGCAACTTAATAGCAGCTCTGAGAACTGAGGCTCAAGATATAACTAGGTTCTACCCACTCAATAGCCTTCTGATTCTATTTTAAGTGACTCTTTTAGCAATGCTTATTCCATTTTATTTTTTCCATTATCATTGCATCTGTAACATATAAAGGCACTCAAGATCCTCTCCATTATTTTTTTTTCACCTATGGTGATGAAGAGAATAAGGAAAGCTCTATCATCATGGCTTTTAGAAGGCCAAAATGAAACCATGGACAGGAAGTGTATTATTTTTGAGAGGATTTTAAATTGTCCTATGACAACTTTTCTCATCTTTACGATCTTAGCTCCCTTCCTATCTCCCACTTTCAGTTTTACACCCTATCACATTTATAGACAGTAGATCTTAAAAAAATTAGGGTCAAAATTCATTCTGTAAAACAATGTATTAAATGCCAACTTAACTCAGTTTAGCCCATATCGAAGGATGGATAAATCAAAGTTAAGAAATCTCTTAGAAATAATATACTGTGCATTTGGTTGGGATATTCTTTTAAAAATATTACTGTTTGGAAATTCATGCAGATTTAGATGGCTAACCAAAAAATTATGGTTATGCTGATTTGTATGACTTTTCACCAGCTACATAAATCTTATAAATTTATCAGATCACTAAAATAATTTCTTAAAAATTGTCATATTAAGATACACTGAAATAATGGCATTTATAGGCTACACTAGAAGATGAGGCATTTTTGTACCCTGAAAAGATCTCACTGGGGCCTCAAGGTATTAAGGGGAATTAATGATTTGAGGTGTATGTGTCCTCCACTCAAGATAGTGGCACACCTGTAGGGAACCTCTGATTTGGAAATCAGTTACAGTGAAATAAGTAATGTATCTGAGAACTATGATGTGTAACATAAGAGAGAAAAAAAGTGAATATGCAGGGTTGTCCCCCCAAACTGTATACACTCTTTAACAGCTGATAACTCAATTGATGTTTCTAGTCCATTGGAATTAATAATTATTCAAAGTGTGCATACATTTTTGGGACACCCTGTATTAACATGTAATATTTAAAATATCAATTATATTAATCCTCTTATTAATTCACTGATAGATAATTGGAGAAGAAGTACTACGTGACTATGCAAAAGGCACAAATTCCCTGTATCTTTGGTCCCACGGCTATAAGGTAAATATTATAAACTTAGCTACCAAATGGACTTTGAAAATTCAATCTGTGTAACTTATCCTATTCAAATGGATAGTAATATTAAGGAAACATGTAACATAGGGATACTTGTTCTACCATCCCATCAAGACAATTCCTATTAAGGAGAACAACTGAATAAATTATGATGCATCTACATATTAAATTAGTGTTGTCTTAGTTCAGGCCGCTTTCACAAAGTTACATAGACTCATGGCTTATAAACAACAGAGATTTCTTTCTTGCAGTTCTGGAGGCTGGATATTCAAGATCAGGTACTAGAATTATTGAGTTCTGGTGACGGCATTGTCCTGGGTTGCAAACTGCTGATTTTCATCATGTTTTTAAGTCATGGAGGGGCCAAAGGAGCTCTCTGGAGTCTGTCTTATAAAGGCAATATTCAAATTAATGAGGTCTCTACCTAATGATCTAATCATCTGTTAAAGCTTCTTAATACAATCACACTGAGAATTATAGTTTCTACATAGGAATTTTTTGTAAAATCGACACTCAATCTATAGCAAGTATGTTGATATACAATAACTATGGGGTTATAGGAACCAGATGTATGTTAAGAGTTGACTGAGAAATAAGACAAAGTGGAGACTATGGACTTGGAAAACAGCAAACTTTCATAAAATAAAAATAAAAAGACAATGCATATCTTAGAAAGTAGAAAAAAAATAGGAGATGGAGAACAAGAGGAAGAAAATAAGTTGGAAAATTAATGAATTAAAAAGCAGAAATAAAATGGTAAGGATAAATGTAAATAGATAAACAATCATAAAATATAGAAATATATATTCTATATGTTCAAGATAATCTCAAACAACAGTTACCATAGCAATATAAGTTTTATTAAATGTTTATGTAACAGTCCTATCCAAAATGATCAGACAAGAAAAATTAAAGGCATCCAAATTGGAAAGGAGAATGTAAAAATGTCATTATTTGCAGATGACATGATATTGTACATAGAAAATCCTAAACTACCCCAAAATGCTAGACTTAATAAATTAATTTGGCAAGGTAGCAGGATACAAACTTAACACTCAGAAATTGATGGCATTTTTATACAACAATAACAAAATCTTAGAAAGACAAACTAAAAAATCAATCCTATTTACCATTGCGACAAAAAAAATAAGATACTCAGAAATAAACTTAACCAAGAAGGTAAAAGACCTATACTCTGAAAACTACAGGATGTTGATAAAAGAGGTAAAAGAAGATATAAACAAATGAAAAATATACCGTGTTCATGGATTGGTAGAATTAACATCATTAAATGGATCCATACTACCCAAAGTAATCTATAGATTCAATGCAATCCTTATTAATCTACCAATGGAATATTTCACATTTTTAGAACAAACACTCCAGAAATTTATATGAAACTGAAAAAGATTCTGAATAGCTACAGCAATCTTGAAAAAAAAAGAACAAAGTTGGAGGGATCACAATACCAGATATCAATTTATACTACAAAGCCCCTGTGCTCAAAACAGCCTGATACTGGCACAAGAACAGGCATATAGATCAATGGAACAGAAATTGGCCCAAGCCACTATGATCAATTAATATTTGACAAAGGGGGCAAGAGCATACTTTGGATCAGAGACAGTCTCTTCAATAAATGGTGTTGGGAAAATTGGACAGGTACATGCAAAAAAATGACACTAGACCACCAACTTACACCATACAAAAAAATAAACTCAAAATGGATAAAGGACTTAAGCATAAGTCGGGAAACCATAAAAA